TTGCGGTAAAAGTTGATGTTTGGCTGATCCGCACTCGCTCCACGCGTTGACAAAAGCGCACACACACGCACACGCACACGCACACGCACACATGTCTGCACATTTGCGCACCTGCATACATACATGTACGCACCTGGCAGCGGGTCGCGCTCTGCACCAAGGAGACGGTGCAATGTGACACCCTGTTCTCTCAACTCTTTCACACCCATCAGAGGCGCCAGCACCGCCTGGCCTGCTCGATCATACACCAGCACCTACACGTTCAAAAGAGAAGAGAGAGAGAGAGTGTGTGTGTGTGTAGGTGTGTGTGTGTGTGTGTGTAGGTGTGTGTAGGTGTGTGTGTCGCATGATGGGTGAGGTTCGCATGCAACCCTTTGCAGGCAGACAGACAGGCAGGCGGGCGGGCTAGGGGCTGACGCATACAAGGGAAGGTTGACGGTGGAGGTCGTACCAGCCAAATGCAAACACCCACAAATGCGAATGCTTACGAATGCACACACACATGTACACACATGTGCACACGCACACACACACACGCACACACGCACGCACACACACGCACCTTCCATGTTGTTGGTGAGCCGAGCATTTGCACGACAGCTCGCCGCTGCCGCTCGCGCACACTCACACCAGTCACAGCACTCGACATCGTTCCACCTTCCAAACAGCCAACCAAGCAAAGATGCGATAATGGCGATTGGTCGAAATCTTCATCTAATCCTCTACAACCGCTACAGCCGCTCGCACAAACAGGACTCTCACACTGCCACCACGCTTCCTGCCTCTCTCACACTCTCCCTCCCTTGCCTCCCTCTCTCGCTTTTGATGGATAGACGAGTGATAGTGGCGAGTGCTCTGGAGGAATGTGATCTGGTGACACTGGCACCGGTGGCGGACGCTGACCCGCTGCTGCTGTATTTGTGTGCGTTTGATGGCGATGGCGGTGCTCTGAACGTGGATGATGGCCGAGTGGACACGCCAGGGCTGGACGCGCTTGTGACTCGAGCACTTGCAGCAAGACCAAGCAACAACAACGGAAGCAACAGCAGCACCACTGCCAGCAGCATTGCCAACAGCCCCAACGACAAGGACAACAGCACCAGCACGGACAGCACCAACGACAACAGCAACAACGACAACAGCAACTATCGCACTGGGACGACACAGCAAGCATGCCAGGCCAGCATCTTGCTTGCTCTTGCAATGCCACCGCTGCTCGTCTCTGAGCACGCGCTCAGCGCAACCGCGACCAGCGCCAGCACCAACGCTCGAGGCAGCACCAAAGGTGCGGCGCCGAAACACTGTATTGCGAGTCTTCCCGCTTGCTTGTTGGGAAGCCAGGGCTTGGATGTTGCGGATGGCGTGTGTGCATCGGTGATGCGGTGTACAAAGCGCGCAGGCTCAAACATGGAGTCCGTGCTCCTTCAGCTGTTTTCTGCCCTCCCGCCACAGCACCACCACTTGCTGGCTGCTCGTCTTTGGCACGTGGCTGCCCATGCACCCGCCAAATCACATCCCACGCAACCACAGCATCAGCACCAGGGTGGGGCGCAAGCGTTGGATGAGGCGACAGCCCAGGCCGCCATCCACGCTCTCGTCGCATGCCGCCCCTTCCATGCAACCCTGACAGATGTTGTGGCTTCCCTGCCCTTCCAAGACACCGTCTTCGAGCACGTGATATCGGCACTTGGGCGCAAACCCGCCTCGGCACGACCGTCATCCTCGTCATCATTGTCGTCGTCGCCACATCGCCGATCCGCTCACTCCCCAATGTCGCGACTAGCACCATCGTCCCTGCTCCTCGGCCGAACAGCACCAGGCAGTGGCAGCACCAGCAGCGGTGGTGGCAGCGTGCTGTTGAGCCCGAGTGCAGGCGCCGCGATGGTGTGCGAGGCGCTGCAGCGGCACATGGAGGAGCGACAGCCGCCGTCACAACGCGTCGTGCGACAGCTGCTTCGTCTCCTCCGCTTCGCAGCACAGCCCTCATCGCACAAATACAAGCTCTGCTTGCACGAGGTTTGTGCGTGTCGATGGGAGTGTTTGTTTATTTATTTGTGTGTGTGTGTGTGTGTGTGTGTGTGTGTGCGTGTGTGTGTGTGAGCTGCGTTTCGAACCTCGTCTTATTCCGCTCATCTTTCCTTTCCACATCAACAACACTGCAGATGATGCAAGCGGCCACCACGCAACGTGCGCTGTCACACATGCTTGAAGCAATGACAGCCAACGTTGCAGTAGAGGAAATTGCCGCCATCACCACACAGCACCGCTTGGTCACAGACGACATATTGCACAAGGACGCGCGCTCGAGTGTACACGACCCAGCCTCCTCCTTTGTCCGCCTTGCAAGGTTGGTGTGTGTGTCTGTCTCTGTGTGTGTGTGTGTCTGCTTGGCTACTTTGTTGCTGATCTGCTGGTGCTGCGTAGTGCCAGCACACGACTCATCCGTGCTGTCTGCCCCTTTTTATGATGGTGTTAGAACGCGTTTAGATGACGCGTCTGAGAAGAGAAGCCTGGCCAACCTGCACGCAACAGCAACAGATCTCCTCCACACGTTTGCACTTCGCGGCCACCTCCCATCCAAACTCCTTGAGATGCTGTACGTGCTGACTGCTTTCGAGCCATGCCATGAACCACGCATGCTGATGCTGTGCCTGTCGATACAAGGGAGACAGGAGGGGAGTGAGTGTGTTTGTGTGTGTACACGTGTGTGTGTACACGTGTGTGTGTGTGTGTGTGTTTTTGTGTGTGTGTGAGTGTGTGTGTAGGAGGCACTGGGGAAGACAGAGGGAGTTGTTGCATAACAATATCACATGCTCTGCTCACCTTCTGCATGATCACCACCACCATCACTATCATCACTTTGCAGCATCTTCAAGCGGCGCCAGTTCTGCACGTCACTGCTGCCCGTCTTCGTCCACATGTGCGACGACAGCACCTGCGCAACACGTGGTGTCGCAAACCGCCTCATCCAGCAGCTGGTGCAGAGGGGCAAAATCACACACGAGTACGTGTTAACACATGCTGTGCTGATGGTGTGTTTGGCAATGGAGGGTATATTTCTGTGGTGATTGTATGTGTGTGTGTGGGTGTGCGGTATCCTCGATTCCACACTCACCTGCCCACGCACCGCTCCACTAACGCTCCCCCTGCCCTCTTGACTGTGTGCTGCATGTAGGATGGTGACGCGGGCACGGCAGTTGGTTGCGTCACGCCAGCAGCCGCACGCATCCGCACGCGCACGTGACAACGACCACGCGCCCATGACAGCAGCAACACCAGCTGTCGATGGTGGCAGTGCGACGGTGGTGCTGGACGGTAGCGATGCGGTTGAGGCGCGTGGACGGGTGGACACGTTGGTGTCGGCGGTGAGGGGCAGGAGCAGGCGCGGATGTGTTTCCGTGCTGCGCGCACTGGAGCGCTTTGCTCACGATGACCTCACCACAGCCATCGCCGTCCACCCCAATGGCGGTGGTGGTGGTGCTGGTGGTGGTGGGGTGCAATGCTGTGCGCTGTTGGTGGAAGTGCTTCGTGCAGCCATGGCGACGGTGCGCGAGGCAATCACAACACGAATCCCTTCTGGTGCTGATGCCGAAGCTGGGCGTAATGCTGGTGATGAGGTGAGGTGGAATGCTGTTGCGACATTGCTACAGAAGTGCCTGCAAGCATCGCCAGCCGAAGTGCGGTCACAGTGGGCGCAGTTGATCATGCACCACAGCATCACAGGTGCGGGTGGCTGTGGTTGCGTGTGTGCGTGTGTGGGTGGGTGGGTGGGTGGTGTGTGTGGCTGTGTGTGTGTGTGTGTGTGTGTGTGTGTGTGTGGTGTGTGTGTGTGTGTGTGTGGTGTGTGTGTGTGGTGTGTGTGTGTGTGTGTGTGGTGTGAGTGAGCCAGTGGTCGTGTGTGTGTGTGTGTGTGTGTGTGTGTGTGTGTGTGTGTGTGTGTGTGTGAGTGTGGGTGTGGGTGTGTGAAAATGTACGTCTGACTGTCCACCTGTCTCTGTCTATCTATCCACTTGTTCATATTCGTATATCTTGTCGTAACACCGTACCCTCTCCCTCCTTCCCTCCTTTTTCTTGTCCACCCGCCAAAAACACCGCCACCATTGTGACGTGTGCAGTGACCGATGCGCTGGTGCCTGGCTCGGGTCTGGTTGTACTCGGCGCTGTCATTGCCGCGTCGTGTGCTGCGCTCAACATGGATGTCCCTGCCATGCCGTCCGTTGTCCGGGCACAGACACCAGACCTGACACCATCACAGCGGCACACCTGTCTCCTCAGGTGCAATGAGCGTGCCTGTGTGTGTGTCTGCGCGTATGTATGTCTGTGTGTGTCTGCGCGTATGTATGTCTGTGTGTATGTGTGTGTCTGTGTGTCTGTGTGTCTGTGTCTGTGTCTGTGTCTGTGTCTGTGTCTGTGTCTGAGTGAGTGTGTGTGTGCGCATGTATGTGCTCTGTGCGCTGCATATTTCACACGCTCAAGTCTGTTACAGCAAGGTCTTCTCACAACCAAACTCGTTCTCGGTATACCATGCGTGGATGAAGGCTGTGTCTTGGAGCCCTGGTGGCGCATCGAGGCATCACCGAAGCGGCATCAGCATCCTCACCCCCATCATCGCTGTCACGCCCGGCCATCACCTGGGATGATGTAACAACAAAACGCATTGCGTACCCACTGTGGCGAGAGGTTGCGCTTGAGATGCGCGGCGATGCAGGTGCGGACGTGCACGCGCTTGTTGGCGTGTACAGACAACTGCACAACACACCCACGTGCAGTGCTTTGCAGAAACAGTGAGTTGTGATGCAATGTAATGTGATGTAATGTGATGTGACGTGATGAGATGTAATCGCGTGTGCTGCTTGTTGTTTTGGGAGAGAGCACAGTATTGCTGCACACTTGTCTTTGAAGATGACGGCAATTCACCTGGAGAGACAGATCCAACCGCACTCACTCACTCACTCACTCACTCACTCACTCACTCACTCACTCACTCACTCACTCACTCACTCACTCACTCACTCACGCACTCACTCACGCACTCACACACACACACGTTGCCCAACATGCGTCGCCAGGCTTCCATCAGAGGAGCACGTGCTGCTGGAATTATTGTGCGCTCCGTCCGACTGCGACCGGTTCTCGTCCGCTGAAAAGTCAAATGTCATCTGCAGCCTTTTCCTGGACACCACGGTGAGCGAGCATCACCCACACGTGCGCAAACACGCGTTTGGTGGCCATGCACGCGAACGCAACACGCGCGCACTCGCACCCACATTCACACACTCGCACTCACGTGTGCCGCGTGGTCTTACATGCCACAACAGCTCGATCCACTTGCGCTGTGCGTGAATGTTCTTATGGACCAGAATGACGGTGGCACCATCCATGCAAACGACATTGCTTGCCTCGCCATGGCCTGCGAAGTAAGCTGAAGTTGCCCTGATTGCAAACATGGTGCTGCCTGGAGTGAGTGCATGCCTGTCTTCCTACCTGTCGTCCTGCTGTTCCTTGAGTTGGTTTTATGTTGTGTGGCAGCTTTGCACACTTCAACCTCCATTCATCCGCCACACACACACACACACACATACGTACGCGCACCTGTCTCATGTTCTCCCAGGGCTTTTTCTCGAGCGTTGATCCGTCCGCAGAAGCCGTCGCTCTTCTCTGGACGTCGCTGATCCCGCTCCTTGGGCCCAGCATCAGACCACGACAACAACAACAACAACAACAACAACAACAGCAACAACAACAACAACAACAACAACAACACGCGTTAATTGAGTTCATTAGGGCCGTTGGCGCTGCTCGGTGTGCGTCGTGGTGCCGGGACTGGTGCGATGTGACGCTGCTGCTGCAATGCACCTTTGCCGGCTGCAACAAAAGCGCACTGCCAGCAGAACGTGTCATATCAACTGCTGTTGCTGCTGTTGAGGGGCAACAGGGACGACTGCATGGACGCGATGGTTGCAGCAGTAGCGATGGTGGTGGTGGCGTTGACAGCGGTGATGGGCTTGGAAACGGCAGTGCAGGTGTATGCAACAGCGACTTGCTGTTGCTGCTGTTCACGTTGCTGCTGGAAGGACGGGACAGCTCGCGCACACAAGAACAACAACAACAACAACAACACCACCACCACCAACAGCAACAGCAGCAGCGATGGGTGGAACAGATGAAGCGTGGTGACAGCACAACAACCGCTGCGCTGTCGTGTGCGATACGGGTGCTCGCCTTGCTGTTTCAGACGTCAACAACGACAGCAGCAACTACTACAACAAGAGCAGCAACAACAACAACAAGAAACACAGCAGCAGCAGCAGCAGCAGCAGCAGCAACCACACCAACAACAACAACAACAACAACAACAACAACAGTAGCAACCATACTACCGCTCAATGCTCTCGCGGCTGTGGAGTGCAGTGAGGCCGCGCTCCGTGGTGGCAGCGCCGGGATTGCCGTGTTCGTGATTGCGCGCGTGTGGGAGCACGCTGCATGTTCTGGTGGGCGTGGCGATGATGGATGGCGCCGTGTCTTGGCAAGCGTGGAGAATGTCGCCCCACCCTCGCTGTGGGAGTATAGTATGCTGCCTGCAGGCATTCTGGACTCTGCCGACGTGTCCCGCCAGCTGTGCGCTCTGCTGTGCCTCCCGTTTTCTCCCACCATGATTGCATGCATTGCCATTGGGTGAGTTTGCTGCTGTTTTTTTTTTGTGTATGTGTGTGTGTGTGAGTTTGCTGCTGTTGTTTGTGTGTGTGTGTGTGTGTGTGTGTGTGTGTGTGTGTGTGTTCTCTGTGTGTGCGTTTGCGTGTGTGCATTCGTGTGTGCATTCGTGTGTGTTTCAACACACGCCATCCGTGTACGCTTCTGTGTGACCCTGTCCGTTAACTGCTTGATGGGATCTTCATCACATCCACTTACTGACGCCAACCCATCCACTGCTTGCGACTCCCAATGCACTGCAGGCTGTGCGGCCATCATACCCGCCCCAGCTCACCCAGTTTGTGGCACACATTCGTGCGCGCACTCGACATGCTCACCACACAGCACATTCTTGAGGTGCACTGATGGTGACTTTGTGTCTGTGTGTGTGTGTGTCTGTCTGTGTGTGTCTGTGTGTGTCTGTGTGTCTGTCTGTGTGTGTCTGTGTATGTGTGGTGTATTTGTGGTGTGTGCTTGTGTGTGCTCTCTCTCTCTCTCTCTCGCGCGCGCGCTTTACGTACATCTTGTGTCTGTGCACGCGCGCTTCTTGTGCACTGCGTTTTGGTTTCACCAGCCCCTCAACTCACCTGTGCTCCGTGTGGCTCATGACATGACATGACAACACCAATGTGTCCAGGTGGATGAGCTGGTGGCTGTGGGCCGCTTGTATCAGCGCGCCGTGCTGTGGTCCAACACCAGTAGCGCAAATGCAAGTGACACTGCCGCCCAGCAGGCCAGCCGCCACCTTGTGCTGCGGCCCGTGCTTGCACTCGCCTACCGCATTCTCCTCGACGCCATGTAAAGCGAGGGGAAGGAGAGAGATGGGGAGAGCTGGGGAAGGTGAGAGAGAGAAGGGGGGGGGGGAGGCCCGCGCAGCACACACACGCACACACACACGCGCATATACACACACTCTCTCTCCCTCGCTCTCGCACACATGCACAACACAACACCACACAACATACACACGCTCGCACAAACACAACACAACACCACACAACATACACACGCTCGCACAAACGCTCTCTCTCTCTCGCTCTCGCACACATGCACAACACAACACCACACAACATACACACGCTCGCACAAACACAACTCAACACATCCCACTGTCACCCTCACCCGCGTGTTGCTGTGCGACGGCACTCGACGCCTACCAACCTGAGTCAAGAAAGACACACGACACCATTAAATGCTGTGACTCACCGCCCAAATTTCGCAGAAAAGAAAAAGTTCGGCGAAGTGCAAAAAGCAGGCAACTGGCCTGACAGTGCTGAGAGGCAATACAGCAAGCAAAAAAGACAGCACAGGTGGCAGGAGGAGACGAAGGGAGCTTCCTGCATCACCTGCACCTTGGAAGCGCGGCAGCGAGGAATTTGAGGGTGACTGTTGCAGTGCCAATCGATGACACCGCTTATCGAGGGTGTGTGCATTCCAGTGGTCACGCCAGTTTCGCGCTCACGCCCCGAGAAAGCGGTCATTTGACCGCCCACAACCCCCCCCCCCGGCAAGTAACACCAACTTTGCCCATCCCCAGCACCACATCCAGCACCATGTGCGCAAACAGCACTGACATCACGGCGCCTTCTGCTGCGTGGCAGTGCAAGCCCGCAACAAAGGTGGCCTCCAAGATCGTGGGCAAGGCCATGCAAGCGGCATTGGACAGCCTGCTTCCCAGAACAGCGGTGATTCCCAGGTGCAAGCGCACGGCGTTTGGGTTCACCATCCTCATCGTTGACGACCACGCTCGCACAAGCCACAACGCCAGTGCCGTGTCAACGGCCAGCTTGCTGGCAACCGACCACCCAGACATGAACGCGTCCGGGCTCGCAGAGATCAGCTTCAGCTCCTCAAACACCAGCGATTCAGGCCACGGCGGCGGCCACACCAGCGCCAGCAACGCTCTGGCCACCAGCCAGCTCAATGACAGCATTGCACGGCAGCGAGCGCTGCTCCCTGCAGACTTTGATCTGCCTTGCATCATTGATGTTGTACCCAACGGCCCGGCCAGTGAACACCTCGCCCTGGGCGATGTCGTCCTCTCCTTCAACGGCATTACAGATCTCACGCAGGAGAACCTGCTGCGCCTGGGCACATCTCACGCCCGCGCCGCCGAAATTGTGTTCACGTCCATCGATAACCCATACCTGGAGCGCCTCCTGCGCGCACACCGGCCCCCGCGCGTGCTCACGCGCGCCGTGCGAACATCACGACGGTCCCGCATCCCGTCGCTGCGCCGCAACCGCAGCAGCGCAAGGGATCGTGACCGCCAAGCCTCGACGCAAACAGCCTCGCACCAACAGCGCCCTGAACACAGCACGCCCATGCCTGCATCCAGCACTCCACTGCCACGCACGCACGAGCCGGGCTCGCGGGCTGCTCTGCTGATGCGAAGTGCGTCGCACCGTTGCCACCGGCGCCGCAGCCTCATCCCGCACGCGGAGTGGAACACAAGTGCGCTCTCATCCATCCGCAGCCACCACAACGCGCAGCAGCCGTCCACATCGACGCCCGTAACAGGCGCGCTCCGACACCGTGATGGCGTCAGACACCAGCACATCAAGCACACGCCTCCACGAAGAATTACTCGCCAGCAGCCGCAGCGACAACAACAACAACAACAACAACAACAACAACAACAACAACAACAACAACAACAACAACAACAACAACAACAACAACAACAACAACAACAACAACAACGCGAGCGGCGGCAGCAGTCCGTAGCACATCCCGGCCAATCAGCTACAGCAACAGATACAGCGACACAACCGAAGCAGCAGGCGCAAGCAAGTGGTGCTGGCGATGTGGAGCTCTTGGTGGTGAATGCGCGTGGGGAGACGCGGCACTACGGTGGCATCCGGCCATCGGTTTTCACATTTGACGACATTGAAGAGGCCGAACACCAGCAGACGAGAGAGCATCCCAGCGAGAGCCAACGCTACCCCGCTGCCACTGCAACTGCTGAACAACAACAACAACAACAACAACAACAACAACAACAACAACAACAACAACAACAACAACAACAACAACAACAACAACAACAACAACAACAACAACAACAACAACAACAACCCTGTGCCGATACTGAGGTGCCAGCAGCATATTCACACTGTCAGCAGCAGAAACAGCAGCACGAGCAGAAACCTGTGGCAGGCCACAGCAAGGACAACAGTCTCGAGTACATGTACACGGGAGGGCCGCGCACACGCGCGCTGCGGCATCTGCACGCACGGCAGCGGCTGCAGAAGGAGAGAGAGGCCACTCGACGACGCACGCAGCTGAGGAAGGGCGGCTCACTGCCCACGCTCGCAACAGCACTGGCGTCGCTGGCAGAGGAAAGAAGACAGAAGCAGCAGGAGCAGTATGACAGCAGAAACAGGTTCGCAGCCTATGACATGCACACGCATCCACTGATGACAGGCGCTATCCAACATGCAACGAGCCCCAGCAACACCAAGCACCACCACGACCACAACAACGACTACGACACGACAACCGCCACCACCCCTTCTTCGAACTCCTCCCGTGCTGGCGACGATGACAACGGCAGCAACGCGTGCGAGGAAGAAGCAACTGCACTCGTGTCGGGCGACCAATACCGCCGCCAATACGACCTCTTGCAGTCTCTTCAACACCAGCACAGCCACCAGCGTCCAGCAGAGAGGAAAGGTCTCTCGTCAAAGCCACTGCAGATTCGAGCAGCAGCGGAGATCAAGGCAGACACGCATGCAGTGGCAGCGGCAGCAGCAGGGGCACAGAAGAAGCAAAAACAGAGTGAGGGCGACAGGAAACGGGACGTCGTGCTGTCGCAGCAGAGCAAGAGGAAGCACAGGAAGGCAATGGCCCGACGCAACCGCAAGCACAGCCGGTTTGGTGTTCTTGGGCGCCTGTGGGTCACGCCCCATCCCGTGAACCACGACGACGAAGGGTCACAGCTTGGGTCTGACTCTGCAGACACAAGTAACGTTGCCACACGCGACACGCCCGTTGTGCTCACCAGCTTTCGCTCGACCCGCACAGACCACAACGACAGCAGCGGGCTGCTGGGGATGGTGGGCGCTGCTGCTTCTACACCACTGCGATCGGCCCTGCCACCAACATCGCCCCTCCGCCCACCACCGTACCCCGAGCAAGGCAATTTGCTGCGGCCACAGTCGGCACCCGCATCCGCAACGTTTGCTTCCCTCGATCTGGGCAGCGCCAACACAACAGCCACAAGCGCAGCCACAGACGCCTTCCCATTCCCCACTGCCACATCCACCGCTGCTGGTGCCACTGCTGGTACCACCGCCACAACCACTGCTGCTACAGCGACTGGCGACAACGGTGCTGGTGACGGTGCGCACGACACGGCGGTCAAAGGCGGCGGTGGCATCACGCGTGGCCATCGCCGCATGTCCCTGCGCGACCGCCTGCGTGATGTGCAGCAGCAGCAGCGGCAGCAGCAGGCGGGGGACAACCCGGACTACGAGACGCTCTATCGGGACACGTCGCGGCTGCTGGAGGAAGCTGTGGAGACGCTTGCGCTGTGGGAGGCGCTGGTGATGCAGCGATCGGCGGGCTCGCTCGTGTCTGCAACAGCAATGCAGATGATGAACCTCTCTGCTCGCAGCACCGTCACCCCGCACAGCACGCTCCCGTCGCCCCAGGTGTCGACAGGGGCAGGCACGACAGGCCAACCCGCAGGCACAAAGGGTGCAGCAGCAGCAGCAGCAGCAACAACAGCAGCAACTGCATCAACGAACCCCACGGCCACCGCAACTGCACACCTGGCTGTGCCAATCGGGGTAAAGGCAACAGCGTATGCGTCGGGCAGTCGGTCTCAGCCGCTGAGCGCACGCTCATCCACACACATCACAGACAGCAAGCACGACAGCAGCACCAGCACCACCGCCACCAATACCAGCACTGCCAGCAGCACGGCACTGCACATGCTGCGTGGCGGTCAGCAGCAGCAGCAGCAGCAGAAGTCGTACAAGGACGTACTCGATCGTGCGCTCGCAAGTAACACGCTCAAGACCGAGCTGACGCGCCTTCGCGTGCAGTTGGCCGATGCGGAGATGAGCAAAGCGCAGGAGACGCTGAAGCGGCGGGTGATGGAGCGAAAGCTGCGGCAGGCACTGGAGGAGGTGGAGCGACTGCAGGAGCAAGTCGCCCTGCCAACACCGGGACTGGTGCTGGAGGCAACCCCGGACACAGACGCGCGGCGCAGCTTGGCATTTGACGCAGACGGTGAGCAGACGATCAAGGCAGCAGGGGCGAAGATGGAAGGGGGGATGAAGGAGGGGGTTAACAAGAGCAGAAAGGCTTCGCGGACGTCGGGTGGTGCGGCAGATGAACAGGGAAAGGCACACAAGCGTGAGAAACCAGCGAGCGTGAAGAACACACAGCGACAGCAGCAGCCACAGCAACAGCAACAGCAACAGCAGCAGCAGCAGCAGCAGCAGCAGCAGGCCATGAAGAAGAACAAGGGACGAAAGAAGAGCCGGTCGCGAAGTGTGACTGGCTCAGTTGACCCGCGCCTGAGCATCAAAGTGTTGTCATCATCGCCATCGTTCATCCCAATGCCCCGCCGTTCATTCAACACATCCACGCCGCGGCCGCGTCACGCAGCCATCGCCCGCAGCGCAAGCGAGGGGCTAAGATGCGCACGCACGACACAGCAGCAGCAGCAGCAGCAGCAGCACACCGCTGGCCACAGTGCTCGTCGTGTTGGTGGTGGTGCTGGTGGTGGCAGTCGTGTTCGGCTTGGGCGTGGTGGGCGCCCGCACAGCGTGACCGGCTGTGTGACGACCAATGCCGCCACGAGGACCACGGCTGACGTTAGCGATGCTGGCAACGGCGCCCTGCAGGGCGAGATGAAGATGGAGAAGCAACGGCCCTCAACTATCAACACAAACTCAAGCGCAGGGCATGACAACGGTGTGCACGCGAGCGATGCGAGCGTGACTGGTGCCAGTGGTGTGGGTGGTGCGTTGCCTCGGCAATCAATAACGCCTGTCGAGGCTTCTGATGCCGAAACGAAGAAGATGATGGCCCATCGCAGTGCCCTCGCCACAGTCAATGAGCACCGCCGCCCACGCAAGCGCTCAAGCGTCATTTAACCACTTGCTCTGTGTGGGTGGGGGGGTGGGTCTGTGTGGGTACGTCCGTGCGTCGTGTTCGTGTGTCTGTGTGTGTGTGTGTTGGCACTTGTGTATGTGTGTGTGTGTCGTGTTCGTGTGTCTGTGTCTGGGTGCATCCATGTTTGTATCTTTACCGGCTGGCCTGACCCTCTGCTGACTTGCTGTTGAGTGTTGTGAGAGGTCACGTTACGTCGTGTGTTACTCCTTGCTTTTCCACTCCACGAGCATTTTCTTGTTGTTTCTTCTCGTCCATTTCTGTCTTTGTTGTGAAAGCGCTGAAGTGTTAGTTGATAGAGTTTTGTTTGGTTCGCCAGCCAGATGCGTTGCATGCCTATTCATGTCAGTCAGATTGTGCGGGACAGTTTATCACTAGTCGTTTGTTTGTTCGTTCGTTTCTTTGCGCCTTTGCGTGAATCGTGCGCCGCCCTCATCAGCATAGCATGGTGTGTGTTTCGATGGATTAGACAGAAAGTCAAATAGCTCGATGTAGTGTCACCCCCACCTTACACAACGCACACACACACACACACACACACACACACACACACACACACACACACACACACACACACACACACACACACACACTTGTTGCTTGCGGGTGCTTGGTAAAGTGGGTTCGTTTCATTACAAAGGGGTGAGGTGCATAACAGTTGGCGATAACGCAGCGAAACAGTACTGTGCACATCACACACGACAATGACAACAAAACACACACTCACACACTCACACAACACATTCACACAACACATTCACACAACACACTCACAGACGCTAACAGGAGAGGAGAGCATGGTTGCAAACAGCTGTGTGTGTAAGCGCGTTGTTGTTGATTACACATGCTGACTGAACACGCAAAGGGCCACGAGGGAAGGAGGAGGGGCACGGAGTGCTGGTGCAAGGACCTCACGCACAGCGAGCGAGCAGCACAAGACTGGATGGCAAATGCCACAACAACCCAAGTCTGAACAACGAACAACCACACACGAACCAGCCGCATGCACGCAAAGCCACGCATGCATGCATGCATGCGCAGCCAATGCAAACAGCTACAAGCGAATGTAACACACGTCACAGCGATGGGACGGGAAACCCAAAAAGGGTGCACAAGTGCGACCGACGAGAGCGACAGAGAGAGAGAGAGAGACACAAGGTCGTGAAAAAGAGAGGAGAGAGAGAGAGAGCTAACGAATGGGACACGAAGAACCAAATGGCACCACGAGCAATGAAGCAAGCGAGAGAAGCAAGCGAGAGAAAAGCCGGACGAGTAAGAAGCGTGATCTTGGTGATGCGGCTAGTTTGGGTCACGAAAAAAAAAAAAAGGAACATGACAAAGGCAAGAAAAGACAAGTGTACAGGACGATCGAGGGGGGAGGGACAGACCGTCGCATGCGCAACATCGTAACAGGAGCATAACGAGCACACCTAACAAAGAAAACAGCAGCAACAGCATGCACGGCGATACCAGCCACAAAAACGGAAAGAAAAGAAACCGTAGCTTTCGCTCAATCACTGACATACACATCAACATACACAAACACACACTAGTGTACACATACACATCAACGAACATACGCACACACATCAGTGTACACACATGCATCCACATACACAAACACACACGTACACACCCACACACACTCCACCGACAGCCATGATCGCCAGCGCCATCAGAGGCCGAGGTACGGGTCGTTTGAACCTGACTGCAGGAACGAGAGTGCGCGGGCACCGCCTGGCCCGTACATCTCCACCACCAGCCGCCGCAAAGTCTTGAGCTCGGCGGCAATGTCCTTCACCTCGTCCCGCAGCTGTTGGTTGCGCACCTCCAGCTGCTTGAACCGGGACTGCTTCTGCTGCCGCCGAGCCTTTGCAATGGCGCGGTGCCGCTGTGCCGCCAACCTGTTAATCTCCCGCGTCTTCGCCAGCTCGTCTGCAGACAGCTCGCTCGCCAGCTTGCGCTTGCGGTGGCGCCGCCGCCGGCTGCTGCGGGAGGAATCAGACCCGCCACCTCCGTTTCCCGCGCCCGCGTTGCTGCCATCTGAGCTACTCGTGCGCGACCGTGGGCTCTCCGCCGCCGCTGTTGACGTGGATAACGACGCGTGCGTGTACGTGGACGACGACGTGCGGTGGTGGTGCTGCTGCTGGTGCTGCTGCTGGTTATGGTGGGCGGAGGAGGAATTGGACGAAGGGAAGAGTGCAGACGGCTGCATGCCGTTGCCACCAGCTGCGGTCGATGGCGGTTTGAAGCCTTGGTGGAACGACTGTTGCTGCTGGTGCTGCTGGTGCTGCTGTTGCTGCTGGTGCTGGTTTGACGTTGTGTAGAGGTGGCTGATGGCCTGTGAATCAACCACAGCCTCGGCCTTGATGGGCGGGTGCCCCGGGTTGAGCGCGGCGTCGCCAACGCCGCCGCCAAGGTAGTCGTCATCCAGCGCCCAGTCCTGGTCATCCTCTGCAGGAAACGTGAGCGGGATCGGGTCTGGCGTTTCGGAGAGGAAGTCCGGGACGGGGTCGTCGTTGAGGACGGGCAGCTGCATGTCAAGCACAGGCCGCTGCGATTGCGACTGGTCCCCGCCAAGGTCCTGCCACAGGTGCATGTCGAACGGCGCCTGCTGCTGGGGCTCCATGTCGTCCTGCTCGCCCATGTGCGGGGGCGGGAGGCCTGCGAAGAAGTCGTTGGCGGCGGCGTGAGGGTTGCGCTCGCCGCGTCCGCCCATTCCCGCATACGAGGATGAGGACACTGTGGCGGCGGCAGCAGCAGCGGTGGTGCTGGGTTGCAATGGCAGCTGTCGCGATAACGTGGTACTGCTTCCAAACAAACTGGACACGCGCATTGGGTGTTGTTGGCGCTGGCGCTGGCGGTGCTGTTGGTGTTGCTGTTGGTGTTGCTGTTGGTGTCGATGGTGTTGTTGTTGGTGTTGGTGGTGGTGGGTGTGGCGTGCAGCAGTGTCAGAGAGGGCGGATGATGCGGACTGTGTTGGAGCATTGTCGATGCCCAGCCCCATCATACCGCCGCCAAACCCTCCGAGCTGTGCGGCCTGCTGCTGGAGGGCGTGTTGTGCTGACCGGCCAAACAAGCTGCTGTGGGTGGCGCTGCTGCTGCTGGGTCCAAGACTGGAGGAGGAGGAGGGTCCAGGAGCGGAGGCGAAGAGCTGGGACGGCGACACCGCATTGAGGGGAGATGTGCTGGCGGCTTCCTGCACCAGCGGCGCAGAGAGGCCCAGGGTGAAGGACTGGGTGAGGTGGTGGCGCTGCTGCTGTAGCTCCTGCTCATGCCGCCGTTGCTCCTGCTGCTGTTCCTGTGAGGGCAGCGCAAACTCGGAGAACAAGTTGGATGTCTCTGGCTGTGCCAGATCTGCGAGCCAGCTGAAGTCATCTTCGCCATCGATGGGCACATTCCAAGGGGCGGCAGTGGACTGCACTGGCTGCTGCTGCGGTTTGGATTGCTGTTGTTGCTGTTGTTGCTGTTGTTGCTGTTGTTGCTGTTGTTGCTGTTGTTGGTGGTGGTGCTGTTGTTGTGGTTGGTGCTGTTGTTGTGGTTGGTGCTGTTGTTGTTGTTGGTGCTGTTGTTGGTGCTGAGGATAGAGCGAGTGTGTTCGACGTGTGGGTGGCGAATGCTGTGCTTGCGTGCTGGGTGCAGGTGGTGGTGGTACGTGGTGCTGTTGCTGCTGCTGTTGACTGTGTAGCTGCTGTTGCTGTTGTTGTAGTTGCTGGCGTTGCTGTTGGAGCTGTTGTTGTACTTGGCCCTGCTGCATGTGGCGCTGCTGTTGCTGGTGGATCTGGTGTTGCAGCTCCTGTTGCTGGAGCTGTTGGAGTTGTTCTTGCAGGTTGCGCTGCTGCTGTTGCAGCAGCTGCTGCAGATCCTGTTGCTGCGACTGCTGTTGGTGCTGTGGCTGCTGGTGTTGCGGCTGTTGTTGTTGTGGCTGTTGTTGTGGCTGTTGTTGTTGTGGCTGTTGTTGCTGTGGTTGTTGTTGTTGTCCACCACCACGACCACCACCGCCACCGCCGCCGCCCTTGCCTGCACCAGAGCCATTGCCAGCCTCAGAGAAGGAAGGCAAGGCAAACATCACGCGGCCCTTCAGCACTGCTTATGACCAGCACACCAGGGAGGCTGGGAATGGCGTGGCTGCTACTGGCGCTGCTTGGATTTTGGCTACCTGGACACAACGGGAGGACCCCCTGCACTTTGCTTGGGTTGTGAGAGAACAGCACACGCCTGGACAGCAAGACGGTGGTGAGGCGGAGAGAGGACAGCAATAGGATGACTGAACGTGACTGAACGAAGCGAATGTGAAGGAGAGGAAGCGAGGAGGAAAAGAGGTTGCTGTTGGTTGCCGTTGGTTGCTGTTTGGTGGTTGGTTGTTTGCGTGTGTGCGGCAGCTGGCGTTGTTCGCCTCGCACACACTCTCTGTCTGCGTGCGTACTTTTTGTGTTACCTTGTTGTGGGTGACAAGGAGGGATCTGCTGGTTGCGTGATGCAGTTGCGCTGCTGCCTTTGAATGTTGTTGTGTTTGTTCTCCACCCGCCGCCACACAAGCCCCCGCTGGTGCTGAAGCAAGAGCAAGCGCGCGACAGAAGCCCCCTCTACCCGCTGCGTTGTGTGACTAGTGCGCATTAAGAGCCCCTAGTATGGTGGATAACAGTGGAGGATGTAGGCTGCAGCTGTCAGCGGGAAAATTTGCTGATGGCTCAAAATGGAGGTAATGTGCGTTTTTGGCCGCTCACACGCGTGAAGTGCCTTTTCTCGCTTTGCGTGGTTGCCTTTCTCCCCAATATCGGCTCTTGGACGACCAGCGGCACAGCAGCCAAACCACCACCACAGCCACCAGCCAGCCATGCAGATCTTCGTCAAGACCCTCACGGGCAAGACCATCACCCTCGAGGTCGAGCCTTCTGACTCCATCGAGAACGTCAAGGCCAAGATCCAGGACAAGGAGGGTGAGTGCATACATGTGTTTGTTTGTCTGTGTGAGTGTGAGTGTGTGTGTGAAACAGTGTCGGGGTGGCAGCGAGTGGGAGCTTGGTGTTTGAGGGGGGTGGGATGGATGAACCGGCGCCGCTTTGGGGTGCTGCTGCATGCGATGAGAAGAGAACACACAAAGGAGACGACCGGGAACAGATGGGCGGTGTACACATGAGAAGTGACGGAGGTGCTACGCCTTCGGGGGGCTGGTGCTCTTGCACCACAACCGTTGTGGCGCCACCTCATGTCGATGATGCTGATGATGGTGATGATGGATGATGATGGTGGTCACAGTGATGATGATGATGATGATGATGATGATGATGATGGGCAAGGGTGATGGCATGAACGTGAAGCAACAGCGACAGCAGCGGTATTGCAAGGAAGTGTCGTAGGTGCCACGGAGAACGGTGTCATATGTGGCTTTCCAGATATCGCCAGCATACCAACAACAGCTGTCGTCTCGTGTGTGTTTGCCCCTTTACGAGACAGCAAGCAGCGAAGAGAGTAGGAGAAGAAGACAGAGGGGTCGACGTGAGAGGGATGGCAAGGGCACAGCTGGGCGTGCGAGAGGTCGTTGCCCCGTTTTTTTTTTGGGGGGGGGGGGCGTCTTGAGCCAGGAGATACACACACCACAAAGAATGTTTGCGTGTGTGTTTCTCCCATTCATCTTCGTGCGTGTGTTGGTGGTCTCTAGTACCTGCCAAGTTGCTCTTGCACCCATCCAAACAAACAAACACACACGCACGCATGCACCACGACATCTGTCGTCGACTTTCTCACGCCTTGGTTGCTTGTTTCCCTTGTTTGTATTTTGTTGCCTCCATCACTATATATTTGCCTGTTCGTCTCTCTTTCCCACACCCCTCCCCCCCCCCCCAACTTTCTCTGCTTCTTTTGCGCTCCTTTGCCGTGTGCTTTGTTTGCATGTCCATGACAGGTATCCCCCCGGATCAGCAGCGTCTCATCTTCGCTGGCAAGCAGCTGGAGGACGGCCGCACGCTGAGCGACTACAACATTCAGAAGGAGAGCACCCTCCACCTTGTGCTGCGCCTGCGCGGTGGTGTCATTGAGCCCAACCTCAAGCTCCTCGCCCAGAAGTACAACTGCGACAAGATGATCTGCCGCAAGTGAGTTCAAAAGAAGTGTGTGTGTGTGTGTGTACGACTGTAGGTGCGCGTCGTGTGGTCATGTCGCTTATTTGCGGTGGCGTTTGGTTGCTTTGGGCTGTGTTGTCCAACCGTTGTCAAGCCTTGAGTTGTTGGCGTCGTTGCTGTTGCTGTTGTGTTGCGGGCGTCTTTTGCTGCTCCACTGCTGTCCCCTCTTCATCTCACCATCTATCTCGTCATGTCATGGTGTACGTTTATACCTCCCCCCCCCCTTCCACTTTGTTTGTTGTGATAAGGTGCTACGCTCGCCTTCACCCCCGTGCCCAGAACTGCCGTAAGAAGAAGTGCGGTCACTCCAGCAACCTCCGCCCCAAGAAGAAGCTCAAGTAAACGGACCCTTGATCGTTCTCTTGTTGTGTGTGGTGTTGTTGTGCTGTTCCGTCACGCTGTTGCTGCGTTGTGCCCCTTGTTCCTTCCTCTCTGTGTGTGGCGTCCATCGTTTCATGGATGATGATGCTGGAATGATGGATGAACATTACAATGATATGGGAAGCAGCCCTCCAACCACGCAACCCGTCACCCTGTGGGTGAGTGCAAGTATTTGTGGAAGTGACGGGAGTGATGTCAGTGATGTATGAGAGTGGCTGCGGTGAGGGTGAAAGAGCGACGAGGGAGGAGAGGCAAGCCACTGCCGTGTGTGCACAACAACTGTCACGGCCAACAACAACACAAACGTCGTCCAAAAAAAGAGAAGATTGTCAAGCAAGACACCAAACCAGCACACCGTGAGTGCTTCCAACACAACTGGTGTGTGTGTGTGGGTTTGTGTGTGTGCCCTGAAACCAACTCTCCCACAACACAAACACACACACACACACACATCCACGCGCTGGTGATGGTGCGCTCCAAAGTGAGGCAGCTCGTCGCTCGGTTCTGGGCTCTCTGTAAGTGGCTGTGTTGCACGAGAGACATTGGGTGGTGGGTGGATTGCAGCAGTCAGTACCTTGGAAATGCACGTTGATCGCGGCTGGTGTGCATGGATCATGCAACAGGCTCGTTCTCACTGCATGCGTGCCCTCGATGCTGCCCTGTTTTGGCTGGCTGTTGTCTGCTTCCACAGTGGGTGCACGGTCCCGGCGCAGCCACCTCTACCTGCGATGCTTTCTGCTGACCTTTGCGGCGCACGCGGCAGTGCAGCTGCTGCAAAAGCCCATCAGCGTGATCAAAGGCGACATGGCCACCAGCATGCAGGTGTGTGTGTGTGTGTGTGTGTGTGTGTGTGTGTGTGTGTATGTGTGTGTGTCTGTGTCTGTGTCTGTCTGTATGTATGTATGTATGTATGTATGTATGTATGTATGTATGTATGTATGTATGTATGTATGTCTGTCTGTCTGTGTGTGTGTGTGTGTGTGTCGCTGCCTCTGCCTCTGTCTCTGTCTCTGTCTCTGCCTCTGCCTCTGTCTCCGTCTCTCTGTTAGGGCTGTCTGATCCCGCGCTGCGCCATCTGTCTGTCTCATCACCTTTTCACCAACACCCACGCCCTGTTGCCCCCCTCCCCCACCCCTTCCTACTGCACCTCCACCCAATCGTCAGGTGTCCCTTCCTCGCATGGGCTGGCTCGACTTTTCACTTCTCTTCCCGTTTGCCGTTACACAAGTGGCTCTGCGCTCCAGGATAGACCGTGTTGGCCCACGCAAAGCCATCGGGCTTGCACTGCTGGGTACGCTGCGATCTCATGCTGCCACTGTCACGTGTACACACACACCCCTGCTGTGTTCATCTGTGCTTCCCACGTTCCTCTTGTCCCTCGCACACACACACGCACATACACAAACGCTCATACACGCTCACACACGCACATACACACACGCTCACACGCACACGATTATACTCACGCTACTATGTTCCAACACCACTAATGACATGTCATGTCGCTGCTTTTGGGCGCGTGCCAGGGGCGAGTGCGCTGATGTTCACCTTCGGGTGGTGGCATAGCTACTTCCTGTACATGCTTGTGCTGATGCTGTCGGGTGCTTTGGAGTCCGTCATCATGCCGTCCTGTGTGAAGGCTCTCAGCACATGGTATGTAATGCAAGAAGATACCAAGACCATGGCAGCGTCTCTGTGTGTGTGTGTGTGTGTCTGTGTCTGTTTGCCTGTGTGTGTGTGTGTGTGTGTCTGTGTGTGTTTGTCTGTCCGTCCGTCCGTGTGTGTGTGTGTGTGTGTGTTTGTCTGTCTGTCTGTCTGTCCGTCCGTCCGTGTGTGTGTGTGTTTGTCTGTCTGTCTGTGTGCACGCACGCCTGCATTACTCTGTCAGTCTTGTTTGCATTCCTGCTTGCCTCTGCCTCCCTGCTTTTTCATCCACCTATCTGTCTTGCCTCGGATTTGCTTGCGCCCACCACCTTAACATACACACACACCACCACCACCACCACCACCACCACCACCACCACGCACACGCACACACACACCCCCCCCCCTCCTCCCTTGGATGCAAAGGCACTCTGGGCGCGGCGAAGCAACACAGCTGGGGGTGTGGGGAAGCTCCCTCTTTGTTGGACAGCTGCTGGCCACGGCCATGGCCGTGTGGTTCCGGGGCGTGCTTGGCTGGCGACACGTCTTCATCGTCCCTGCCATCATCGCTGCCGCTGTCGGTGCGCTAGTGCTGCGTCTCCTGCGCATGCCATCCAGCACAACGTTCATCAACCCCATCTCGCCACCACCGCCGCCGCCGTCAGCAACACGTGCGGGCCGCTCCTCATACCCGCGCGACCGACACAAACGCACACGGGCGCACGCACACGCACTCGCACAACCAGCACCGACGACGACGACGATTCTGTCTTCCTCTTCTTCCTCCTCCTCGAGGGAAACAAAGGCAAAGACGTCTGCTGCACCATCGCCGTTACCAGCTGCCATGCCGCCACCTCCCACCACGTCGTCATCAACCCTCATGCCCTCGACCCCATACCCACCGCCCCCAACAACAGCAGCGGGACCACTCACCATGGGCGCAGCAAGCACCTCCACAGCACTGCCATCTCCCCAGCCACACCCCTCAACAACATCATCACACTCACACTCCCTGTCCGCGACGCCAACGAAGCAACCGCCATCATCGTCATCGTCAGCACCGGGTCCATCACGGGCACATGGCATGCCACTCTCCCACTCGTACCCTGCACAGCCCCACGCGCCATCCACCACCAACAGCAGTGGCAGTGGCAGTGAACAGTGGGCATCACGCGGCCTGAATGTCAAGGGCAGGCGAACACGCACCGGCAACACCAGCAACAACACCAGCGCCACCACAACCATCATGAGCAGCAGCAACGGTCGGTCAAGCCCGTCTCACACCACCACGACCGCCGCCACCACGCCCATGTATTTGCATCACAGCTACGGCGACCCGCTATCAGAGCGACACAGCCCAGCCGTTGTGGACCACAGTGACTCTTCGTGGCGCGATGATGGCTCACAGATACCGCTGCACCGCTCCCTGCCAGCCATGCCGCAGTCGTCGTCATTGACGTCAGCAGCAGCGGCGGCAGCAGCCGAGACGCGAGCACGCCACGTGCACAACCCAGCAACCACGCATCTTGTTTCGCGTCATCACAGCGCTACAGGCGGCGAAATGCTTGAGTCTGTCCGCAGCAGCTTGGGTGGCGATGATGATATGGGGGAGGGATGGTCGACTGATGGTGCGATGCAGAGTGCGCACGGTGTTGTCCGCAAGCTGTTGATGAAGGCAGATGGGTTTCTGTCTGGTGACATTGGAGCGAGCACGGATGAGGAGAGTGAGAGTGAGGGTGAGGTTTATGTGTTGGAGAGTATGCACAAGAGCCATGAGCTGACGTTGCGGCAGGTGTTACGACTGCCCCACCTCCTCTCTCTTGGTGCCATCTACTGCTTTGTAAATATGATTCGGTCAGTGTGTGGGGGGGGGGGGGGTATGTGTACATGTGTGTGTGTGTGCATGTGTGCATGCGTGCATGTGTATGTGTGTACATGTCTGTACATGTCTGTGGGTGGGTGTGTACATGTCTGTGGGTGAGTGAGTGTGGGTGAGTGCCTGCCACTCCACTTCCCCTTTTCCTTTTTTCTTGCCTGCTCATCGGGTGTGTATGTCATGTCATCAACTCACGTGCTCTCGCTTATCGCGACATCCACGCTTGCACAGCTACGCTGTTCATATGTGGCTCCCGTTTTACTTCCAAACCCTTCATTCATACGATAGGCTCGAAGCAGGTTCGCGCCTCGTTCTGTGTACTGTGTACAGTGTACAGTGTACACACCCACATGTCTGCTCCACTGGGTGTTAGGCTCGATTCGACCGCCACATAAGCTCACCCTGTGTGTGTGTGTGTGTGTGTGTGTGTGTGTGTGTGTGTGTGTGTCTACGTGTGTGTGTGTGTGTGTGTGTGTGTGTATGTATGTCTACGTGTGTGTGTGTGCTCGCAGGTTACATGTCGAGCACGTTTGAAATTGGCGGGCTGCTTGGATCTGCACTCATTGGGGCCGCTGGCGAGAGGTGTGACTGCTGCTGTATCGTATCTTGGATCCGTTGATCTTGTGTCCATGTTGATTGTTTTGGCTCCACCATAACAAGTGCAACACCCCGTCAACACATCCTCAACACACCTCAACGCGCGCGTGCGCCTACAACCAGGTTTGCGAGCGGGAGGAAAGTGGCAACGTGTCAGGTTGCGTTGATTATTGGCGCCATCTCCACAGCCATGTTCCACCAGACAGCTGGCAGCAATCCCGTCTTCCAGTCGTTCTTCCTCCTCGCAATGGGTTGGTGTGTTGTGTGTGTGTGTGTGTGTGTGTGTGTGCGTGTGTGTGTGTGTGTGTGTGCGTGTGTGTGTGTGTGTGTGTGTGTGTGTGTGTGGTCACTGCGATATCATTTCCTTGTTTTGTTTTGTGTTTTGCTCATGGGCCTTGCATATCCCCCTCCTGCGCCACACGTTCCGCTTCACGTCAACACTGCAAACAGGCGCATGTTATGGCGGCGTTGAGGTGATGATCTCGACATCAATGGCCATTGCAATCGGCATCGAAGTTGGTCAGTCACTTGCCTCTTGCCTCGTTCTCGTTTGCTGCCTGAAGTCTCCGACCTGCAACTTCCCACTCGCATGCTGACCTGACCGTATAACGCACACGCGCGCACAATCATGCACGCACAGACACTCCCTCACTCACTCACTCCCTCACCCACCATCTCACGCATTGCTGTGCCAGATGCGGTGACGTCCGTTGTCAGCGTCATCAGCTGTTTCGGGACGTTGGGGGCCGTGATTCAGGTCAGAACACAAGCAAGGTGCCGCTGGTGGTGTCGTAACACGTGTGGTGCTGGTGGTGTGATGTCACGTGTGGTGATGCATTGCCCGCTTCCTGTTTTCCTCACAATCACCATCGCTGTCACCGCCGTCATGATGCTGGTGTCCCAGGCACCGCTCGTTGCGCAGGTGGTGCGGCACCACGGCACGAGTGGCGGGTCTTACCTGCTCGCTGTCCTCGTCACGCTGCCTGTTGTGGCGTCGCTGTTTGCGCGGACACACGACCGCAGACACACGCGCTCCCTCCTCACCTCTCGCATCGCGGACTAGGCCTGGGCCACGTGCGGTTATGGGGGGGGGGGGGCTTGCGGTGTGTGTGTGTGTGTGTGTGTGTGTGTGTGTGTGTGTGTGTGTGTGTGTGTGTGTGTGTGTGTGTGTGTGTGCATTTGTATGTGTACGCCATTTGCATCGCATGTGCGCGTGTTTGTGCATTTGCGCACATGTATGCACTGGGTATGCGTGTGCATGTGTGCGTGCAGCGGTTATGCGATCAGAGAGCTGTCGACGACTTGGTTGCATTTTTGTGCATGTGCATGTGCTGCTGCTGCGTTCAACCACAGCCGCGTCTGCCTGTCATGACTGAATAGATTGGTTGATTGATTGACAACACTGGCGCACGCAAATGCGAGGGGGGAAAAGCTATATGGCAGGGCAAGCAGGAATAGAAGGAAAGTGTGGGAAATGCACGTTGGGTGCAGGTGATCAAGTTGGCTCACATGTGTTCGTCGGTGGCTGTGCGTCAGCGCCTCAACAACAGAGAGAAGCGAGCAAAGCCACAGCGACGAAGCAGGGCAGAGACGAGCGAGCGAACAAGCGAGTGGCCCCGCGTGTGTATGTGCAGTTGTCAAGAGACGTTCGGGCGAGACGACGGGTACACGCACGCACGCGCTATGGTGCTGATGGCGATTTGGGGGGGGGCAGGAAAGAGGAGAAAAAGCGAAGAAAGAAGAAGTAACAACCGAGCAAGCAAGCGAGCGAGACAGAGAGCAACGAGGTAGGCAGGACATGGGTTGACAACAATGCACAACAACGATGATGACAAAGGCAATTCACGATGACTAATGTGAACATAAGACAAGCAGGTGGTGGTGATGTTGACGGTGGTGGTGATCACAGGAAGTACGGCGTTGTCCGTGGCGGCGGCACTTTCCGGTTCTCGTCAGGAACAGCTGTGCAGTCACACGGCAAACAATGAGGTGAGGTATTGTGCTCTGTGTGTGTGTGTGTGTGTGTGTGTCTGTGTGTGTGTGTTTGCATGGTGCATGTGTGGCTGCATGACGCACCTTGGAAGATCTTTGCGTCGCGGTTGAGGTTCTCGTCAAAGGAGAGGATGGCGGCGACATTTCCGCATCTAAACCGCCGCACAATGACGTGAGGACACGACAGCATGTAAAAATGCACACGCACACACACACATGCGCATACACACCATACACAACACATCAACACGACACATGAACACAGCACAACAACACAACAACACAACACAACACAACACAACACGACACGACACAACAACAACAACAATACAACAACACAACAACACAACACAGCACAACAACACAACAACACAACACAACACAACAAAACGCGGACCTGTAGCAGTAGTTTGGGGCGGACCAGACGGTTGCGAGGAGATCGCCCTCAAACATGTACTTGATGCCCTCCGCCACAAGCTGATGCGCGCGGCAAATGAGATCAACGCCGTTGTGCTCGTTGAACTGTCGTGGTGGCCGAGGCAGTGTGGAGAATGAGGGCAAATTGAGGTCACAACCAGCATACGGTGGTGTGCAGGTGCACACGCACACGCACACGCAAACGCACGCACACGCACACGCACACGCACACGCACACACGCACGCACACGCACACGCACACGCACACACGCACACGCACACGCACACGCACACGCACACACGCACACGCACACACGCACACGCACACACGCACACGCACACGCACACGCGCAA